TTTTTCTATTCATTTAGATGTTAGAAAAATTTGTTGGAGCCAAAGATTCACTATTTTTTGGCTTGAGAATATGATGGAATAAAGCAAAATGACTCACTAAAATGTCTGCGCTTCTTTATTATGAAGTAACAGTTGGTCCATGTATTTTTCGACGCAATTTTCATTATGGGTCATTCAGAAACAGTCTCTCTGTTCTTTAGTATAGGGGTAACCGGGTAAGACTGCGTACATCTGACCCCCCCTTACCTCACCGTAGGTGGGAGCCTTTGCGGCACTGGGGTAATGATGATGATGATTTAGATGTTAGAAAAATACAATATCCAATTAAAAAATACCAAAAGGGAACAAGTCAATAACCTTTGCAATATTATATTTTGTTATTCTCATGGAAAAACTTTCCTGTATCTTTATTCTCCTCTGATGGAGATATGAACATGGGATTCCTGGATTTTTTTCATGAAAAGTTATCCTGCCCCCAAAGTAAGGCACGGTGTTTAAAGCACTACCATGCATTTGCTATAATGAACTGAATATGAGTACTTTACCTCTTTTATACTTCAGCATTTTGTCTGTTAACTTCTTGTGCAGCTTCTGTTGCATAATTGCACAAACTATGATGTAACTTCCTATTTCAATTTTACATCAGCCAGAGAGTCATTGGAGTGGTTAATGGTACTCTGGTCCTCGGAATAGTCATCTCTTTCATATCTCTTGTGGTAACTCCAATTCTCGATTAGCTAAAATTCTTTGTACAGTACGACTTTGAAAGTGCAATTACATGTCAAAAAAGTTTATATGTTAAAGTTTTGTAAAACTCCAAAGATTCTCACCGATGCCCCATGAAAATAAATCTCTTATTAATAAATGCACTTAATTGCTAGTTGTTGTACACTTGCACATAAGTTTCTATAAATGGTATATAGAGAAACCTCACTGCCTGTGATTTTCTTTAGATCGTTGCTAGTGGAGACCTGCACTGGGAGGCTCTTTTGAAAGCTAACTTTGAAGCTGCACCTCAAAGTATACCCATAATAGCTCTTTCTTTTGTCTATCAAGTGAGAAAGTTAAACACTTGAAAGCACACTGTTCCTACAAATTGTTCCCTGTTTCAATGGTATAACTGATTGCCTATTTTTTTGTTTCAGAATGTAGTCCCTGTTGTCTGTACAAATCTTGAAGGAGACCTTTCAAAAGTGAGGTGATGAATCTAATGAGTATCTTGGTCATGAAATAAATATCACTGTTCTGGTATTCTTTTCTCAGTCCGTATAAATTATGAGTAATTATTATAGGCATATAGTCAGGAACTTGATGGATGTGGTATGTTTCAGGGCATACAGCTCACATGTTTGACACTGTTAATTCATGGATATTTATGGTGAATATAATCTGTTATAGTTCATCATAAAAAGTTTATTTATAACTTTATATTGGGGTAATCAGATTGTTTCCTTCAACCGCAGTAGTTGTAGGGGAGATGCAGCACGAGAAGGTTTAATAGTCACAAATTATGGATTGCATGAGTTTTTGTTCAGTAAATATTAGCTGTCAAATTAATGGGCTTAATAAATGGACTTGTTAATTTTTTTTGGGTTTGTAGTGTTACCTTTCAAATCAAATTATGGTAAGGTTATAAGATACGAAGTATTAGACTGCCAGTTAACGTAATAAATTCTCCAGCTTCTGTTCTTTCTTTGATCGTTATTTGCATATACCACAATGCTTCCTAGACATCAACTATTAGCAGTCTGTGGATAACTTATGTAGGGTTTGTCATGATGCTATGTGTAAAGCTACACATGACATTTTATGGATTTAAGTGAATGTGAAAAAGAAAACCACCGGTTTTTTATTTTTTAGGCTATGTTAGTTTGGAGAAGTCAATATTTGTTATAGCAATCCATCTTTTTCCCAATGCTGAGGCCAATTTCTAGATAAAAATTGCATGATGCATTATTGCATTTCTATGAACAAGGATTCTACTTACTAGAATGTATTACTTCTTTTATTACATTCTTTTGCACTTATATTTTCACGAGGATCGCAATGAGTGGTTTATGTACATCTGTGCGTGCATCACAAGTGATAACATGGTCACCGACTTTTTGAGTTTTTGCACACGGCTGCAGAAGATTTTTTTAAGATTTTAATTCCCTGTTGATGGGTGCACTTGTGACATTCTTGAAGATCGCTAGAGGTGTTAGATTTTTTGTGATAAACATCACTTACTTTTATAGCCCTGCAGGAATGCAATTGTTCTGGGAACAGCCATACCGCTTGCCCTCTTTCTTGTTTGGAATGGTGTTATTCTTGGAACAATATGTGATCCTGAAACAGGCTTGGACAAGATTGGTGACCCAGTGCAACAGTTAAGATCTGCAAATGGAGTTGTTGGGGTGTGCTACTCCACTTGCTATCACTTATAATTTCTTTAATTACTTATTTGACTATTTTTCTTGAATGTTATAATCTACAAGAACTAACTGACTGTTTCTTCTTTGAATGCTATAATCTACAGGCAATAGTTGATGTCTTCTCACTTTTTGCGATTGCTACTTCTTACATTGGATTTATCTTGGGCCTCACTGACTTCCTTGCTGACTGTGAGTGAATTGCAGCTTCCACTCTATTTTCGGTATTTAACAAAATGACCAAATTAGAAATTTGTAAGAGATCACCAAGGAGAATACACAAAGAGAGAAGAATGGACTTGGCACAATTATCAACAAGCGTAGTTGAAAACGAAAGTGTGGTTGAAATTTGGGTTAAAAGGAGTTAACAATATTAACCAAGCTTTTCCTTCCTAAAAATGAAACATGATGATTATTTGAGTATGGACCAGAAAAGAAAACTGGGAGATTATTTCAGGAAGGAGAACGCACATAGTGATGTCTTATAAAATGTGATTGCAGTATAATTTGTTACAGATTTGTATTTTTTCCCTATTTCTTCAACTTTCTTTTCCTGATTAAGAATATATGCCTTAACCTTGCCCTCAATTTCATGAGAAAATGTTTTCTTTTCCAATGCCAAAACAGAAAATCTAGAAAATATTTTTCCAGGGATATGTTACAGTGGAAACAAATAGACCCTTTTCTTCATGAATGAAGACCTTAGTTATTGCTATCAATTTGCCACTTTGATTTGCACATGCATGAATCTTTAAACACAGAGAAGTTCCTATCCTTTAACTTATTAGAATAAATTCACACTGGAGTTTATTTCTTTATTTGTTCTACATCATATATTGTATGTCGCTGGAGCATGATTTACCATAACTTTAACCAGATGTATTGGTCAATGTAACTTATGTCTTACATGGTCATTCACAGTGCTCAAAATCCAACGTGCGGGCAAAAACACCCTGGCAACGTATCTACTTACTCTGGTTCCTCCATTGGTACTATCATTGCTCAATCCAGGGATCTTCTTCAAGGCCTTGGATTTTGCTGGGACATATGGAGGTAGGCTCACTTCTACGTGTGTGAAGCACACACTAACTAAATTTGTTTTTGGTAATGCAGACCAACCACATCATGATGGACTCTTAGGCCAATAATTATTTAACATGTTGGAACTTGTATAGATCTTAGCTGCTGAAATATACTACGAACTATCTATTTCCCTGTTTAATCTTCATATTTGACTTTTCAAGTCAAAATATGTCATCTTTGACTACTACATTCTCATAAAATATACTACCTCCGTTCTTAAATAAATGCAACACTTTGACTTTTACACTATTCACATGTTCTACTTTGACTACGTTTTATTTATTAATGTAATAATATTATTTTATGAAAAAATTATTGTTAAACTTGTCTCATTGTAAATTTTCATAATCTATTTTTTTTTTAATTTTTTTACTAATACAAAATCATTTATATTAATGGTCAAAGTTGTGTCTCGGCAAGTGTGAAATGTTGACCGTTGCATTTATTTAAGAACGGAGGAAGTACTTGTATCAACCAAATTGTTTTACAATATAAATTAATGATCATGTTCTTGGATTCTAATTGTTTCTGTTGGGGGTGGTTTTGAAGTTTTGGTGCTGTTTGGAGTCCTGCCGGCCGCAATGTGCTGGTCTGATAGATATTCAGAATCAGCCAAATCTCAGACAAACTTACCACAACTTGTTCCTGGAGGGAGGCTCTCACTATTGCTCGTGCTTGGAGGTTCAGCATTCATCATCCTCACACAAATACTCCACAGCTTTGAACATTGAACAATTTGTAAAAACATGTTATATATGGCAAACATCCAAAAGTTTGTAAATCTTTACTGTTACTACTACAAATGTGAGGTTTTTGTGTTTTATTACTCTAATCAATTACTACAAGGTAGTTGGCTAATTGTGATTAAGGTTTTGGTGACATGATCCGTGATGTTCCAGTGTTCCACTATTGACAATCTAGTTTGCTACATAGAAACGTGTTTGTTTTCAACTCATTGTTGTATCATTATATTCTTCACCCCAAGTCCCCAAGCTATCAGGATTGCTATTGACAATCTAGTTTGCACACAACATGAAAGAATCTGGCATTTTATCAATGTGTACCACAATGAGAAAATCTCCAGCACATCTCTAGGAGGGTACTAGGAGAGAATGCGATATAAATAGTGTAAATGAGTCATTTTCATTTTCATTTACCCCAATGCTGCAAAGGTTTCCAACTACGGTAGGGTAAGGGGGGTTGGATGTACGCAGTCTTACCCCTGCACTAAAGCAGGGAGAGACTGTTTCCGGATGACCCATAGTGAAAATCGCGTCCAAAATTGCATGGACTGACTGCTGCTTCATAACAAAGAAGCGCAGACAGTTTAGTGAGTCATTTTGCTTTATTCTATCATAATCTCAAGAAAAAAAATAATGAATCTTTGATTTCATTGCAAATGATGGAAAAATTGGGAAGATAATTTGGGAGTGCATTGGGGCAATGTGATGGAGAACACAGGGAGGCCGGAGGGGCAACAACTCTGCATGGCATGGCATAAACCAATGAAAATAAAAGTCAGCCAATTACTCTTTTTAAATGCAAAATGTGGCTGTTAATCTATTTTATAAAGAAATCAAACAGTACATAACAGTTATCGGTTATCAACTCATACAAAATGACATTTTTTAACAGCTCTATTACCTGCTCCACAAATATCATGCAGCGACTAAAAAAGAAATCATCTGTTTTCCGGGAAAAGAAAAATTGAAGAAAAGGGGGGAGAATACCCTAGAATGAATGCTTGCATATCAACACAGACCCTAAAAGGATTTGATTTGCGAGTTTGACATTCAACATCAGGTGATTAAGAATACAAAAAGTACAGCCCAAATAAGCCAAAGGTGCATTGTTTTGCTAATCTATAGCCATTGCTTCGGGAAGTGCACCAGTATCATCCTCCACAACCCCATTCTTATGGTCATCCATTGCTGTCCTCATCTCCTCAACCAAACTCTTTTGTTCTTCATCTATTGTGTTTTGAAGCTCGTCAACCTGATGAAGCAAGATATGGTTCAGTCAACCGTTGATAAATACAGTTATCAGAAGAATAAAGCCCATAAAACAACAAAAGTGCTTTTTTTCAGTGCACTGAAAGGGAATTAAAGGTTACTCAAGTTAGAATTACATCATGAGTTGAGAAGTGAAAACCAATACGTTTTTCCCTGAATCTACATTTCTATACCATGTGAGGATAAAACGTCTGACCTTACTATTAATTCCTTAACAAAATAATAACCACTTTCTAATTTTTCTAGAACACATTAAAGTTGGCTTCTTAGTGTGAGTTGAGGGGAGAGGTTTGGAGGACCACATTTTTTAGAGTGAATCCACATCTTTCTTATATACTCCAATTTAAAATTTTATAATAGAGTAAATGAAAGAGTAACATAACAGGGACAAAATTTGAATCTCCCTCTATAAGGGACTCTTAGGGTATATTTGGGAGTTGGGTTTTGGAGGAGAGGGGAAGGTTAATGGAGGTTTATGACCCTCGCTTTTATGTTTGGGAGTTAAAAAAATGGAGGGGATGGTTTTAGAACTTTTGTAACCTTCCAAAACCCTCTGAATGGTCAATTTTTAAGCTCCCCCCAGTTTGGAGGGTTTTAAAGGATAAATAACAAAATGATAATTTAAATTCAATTTAAAATGAATCTCAATTCAACTATTTGAATTCACCATATCTCATAAGTGATTTTAATCATAATTCCTTCAAAGACTCTTTTTCCAAATTTATTACTCCCAAATACGAAGAAGGGTTTTATCACCTTCACCCCCCCTCCCATCCAACAACTTACCTTTAAAGCATTCCCCTCCCCTTCCCCCCAAACTCCCAAACATAGCCTCAGAGTTCACCGTCATGGTATGTTTAGAATATTGAATCATTAGCGAAATCCTATCATCGAAAAAAGTGATCCATATTATGCAACGGGAGATATATGCAATCAGGACTATGAATACTATCATCCCAAAAATGTGGAAGCAACAAATGCAGTTGAGTAATTCAACTTTGACCTCACCTTCAGAAAAACAATGCATTTCAAGAGCTAGCTTGCTATTTATCTACAAGGTATACCTATTGTCATTTTCCCTATGCCCCTCAAACTTGCAGCATGTAGTTTCCTCTAATATATTGTGTGAGACGACTTGTTCAATTGATATTCCACAAAGATAATAAACAGAACTGAGGGTGAGTACCCCCCCCCCCCCCCCCCCGAAAAATGGCAAGAACTACCCATACCTATGTCTACTTCATAGTTCATGCACCAAAAGCACAATGAGAACTAACTTAATTGCATTTGGTGTAGGGGGGTACATACCACATGTAACAAAAGAGCGAATTGCTTTTTGCGCAGCTCCAACGTTCTCGAACTAGCAGTGTTTTCTGCCTCTAATGCTAAAATTTCCTTCTCTAGTTCCGTGATAACATTTTGGGTCACTGATCTGGCTGGCTGCACTGCAATCAACCTCCTAATTGCCTCACACTCCTCCTTGTGCTTCCTCTCTATCTTGCTCTCCTCCAGTTGTTTCTTCAAATCTTCTATGTCGGTTTGGGTCTGTATAATTTGCCTTTTAATTTCATCATTCAAGTCATTGAAATTCTCCTTCTCTCTAACATTTGCTTCGATGACAGTTTTGCTTTTCAGAAGCGGAATCTCAAAAGTGTTTAGTTCCTGTAAGAAACTCTTGGCAAGTCTTTCACAGTCAGCCAAGTTATCGGCTTCCTTCTGTACCTCTAATGCAAACGCAGTAAACTTCTTTTGAAGTTTCTTTAGTGGAGGTTCGCCCCTTGTGGTAGTAGTGCGGGTTAGAAGTCTGTGTTTTATGATCAAGTCATCTTCATGTTGACCAAAAGCATAGTGTGCACCCACAGTCTCCCCCTTGCCAGCAACTTTCCTACCTTTACTCAACATTTTATATGTATGTGCCTACCTCTTCAATAATAAAGCAGATGTTAGACATCTACCATTTCAACACGGTCATTAGATGATCCCATGGAAAGTTATCACATGCATACATGATACATCATACACTATAGCACTCATGTTTTCTATGTCTCTAAATGAAAAATCAAACAAAAGATGATCACAAAATATTAAAAAAAAGATCGTATTACCCAAAAAACAAAGTTCTTTGACACCTGAATGGCTGAAGTCATAGTAAATAACTTCAAAACAATCACACAACTGTCAAACTTTACATTCACTTATCATAATATAGATTTTAAGCACAACAAGTACATCTTCCTGCACTCCATCAGAAATACAAACCTCTTCAACTCTAAATGCAAATATCTTTTTTAAATACAAACCTCTTCAACTCTAAATGCAAATATCTTTTTTAATTTTTATACACAAATTAAACGTTCTCCATCAGCAACACTTACCTTTACCAGGATATGTCACTTTTTCTCAAGTCATCTAGAAATGTCCACTTAATTACCACAGCTCTTAGTACAGCAAGTCAACAAAGAATCGACATTTATGTTCAGGACAATTAATGTAGTCAATAAGCCGGCTAAATTTCCTTTAGACGCTATATATAGATCAGGATACATCCAAATCCAGCAATCAAAGCATGAATCGAGCAGGGGTTAGTAAAACTAGCAGAATTGAGTACATGACATGCTTGAAAATGATTGGTTAAAGCCTGAAAGGTATCGAATCAATAGCTCAAATTCCGAAGAGAAGCAAGATCAGCGGAAACGAATGCATGGTAACACCTTACAAATCAAAGGCTTGAGCCAATTAGATGATAGAGCTCACGAAAGAATGGTGCGATAAGGTCAGGTAAATTACCATATTTCCAAATTTGCAGCAACGAAATTACATTCGGAGTGGGAAGAAGAGGCACTTTACCTGTGCGAAGGGGGCTGACTCGATGAAGAGAGGGTGCCGGGATGAGCGTTCTTCAGGTAATCAGGTTCACTAAGCGGGTGCGGCGAACTGGTCGGCGCTAACACTCTTTCCAGAATTGGACAATTTTGTCCTTGGCGCCGCTTCTGTTTTTATGCTGCGTAGGCATGCTGCTGCTCATTTTTTACTTTTTTGAATCAATTTTACTAAAATAAAATAAATTTGTTATGAAATGGAAGAAAATTAGCAAAAGATTAGAGAGAAAAGGTACCGTATGAACACTAAGCGATAAATATGTTATTAATGGTATAAATATGTTATTAATGTTATAATATGTATAAATATGTTATTAATGGTATACTAGAAGTCTGATAGAGATGTAATACATGAGAAGGAGAAATTCCTATTTATAGGATAAAAGTTAAGCTACTTTGGATTATTAGATAATCGTGAGCCACACAATTGTTATTCTAGAATCATAATTATGGTTTTGTAATTAATTTGATAGTGATGATAATAATTATCATAATCATGAATAGTTGAAAGATGACTAATTTAACATATTTCAACCCCCCTTGAATGGTCATCTTTTAATTATTTTGGGGTATTAGTTGCCTCGTTAAAAACCCTACTATGGTTTCCACGATGTGATGAAAATCATACTTAAGGGAGAAAGAGTAAAACATTTGATTTCATAGTATTATAGAATTTATAGTGTATTGTCTCGTTAAAAACCTTATCAGAAATAACCTGGTAGGATAAAAACATGAACGAAGGGAAAAGGAGTGCAGTGCATTATAATACGTCCCTCAATTTAACATATATCTCGAAGATGACACATTCCAATTTTGTGGACCATTTCTTCAAATTTCTTCGTGATCAATGATCTTGTGAATAAATTAGCAGTGTTGTCGTAGAACTTGATTTGTTTGACATCAACTGTTCCATCTTTCTCAAGATCATGTGTGTAGAAAAGTTTTGGTATTATATGCTTTATTTTGTCCCCTTTTATTAATCTCCTTTGCCAAGCCCTCATACAAGCTCCTGGCCCAAGGCCTTTTATCAAACAAGACCCCTTGGTACCAAGTACCGAGGGTGGATACTCCAATCAACTACGACAACAAAAGAAAGCGCCAAGTGTTTTCTAAGAAGACCCCTCGATACCAAGTACCGGGGGCGTGTGCAAAAATAAACACCAAGTGTTATTTTTGAAGTTGTACCCCTCGAGGACGCATTTATACCGAAGGTGTCACCTATCGGTCCCAACGGCACCAAGTGCTCCCGGCCATTTGCAACTAATATGCAAATAAAACCCTTCCCTGAAACGCTTTCCGAGCCATTACCCCAATGGAATGGCAGACAACTAATATGCACAGGATTCGACTTTCAAAAACGAAACACTTTCCGCACCATTACCCCAAGGGAATGACAGGCAACTAATATGTCTCAGGATTCGACTTTCAAAACGAAACGCTCCCCGCGCCATTACCCCAAGGGAATGGCAGACAATAGACTATGTCTCATGCTGAGGGGACGACTTTCAAAACTGAGGCGCTTTCCGTGCCATCCCCCTAGGGGTGGCAGGCAACAGACTATGTCTCGTGCCGAGGAAACGACCCTCGATCCCCTCGAAACCCGGAAGGTTAATCCCGAGGGGGAGCTAACAGTGTATAGTGTTGCCAAGCCTTACCAAGAAACCAAGTTTCTTGAAGCCTTCCCCTCGCTACCTCCCCTAAAAAAACGAGGTGAAGGGGAGTAGACTCAAAGAGCAATCAATGAGTACAAACTCAAAAAATGTGCACCTTTCGGCAGCTAGCAAGAATGATCATTACAAGGCAAAAAGATCGTACCGAGGGTTCCCATGGGAACACATCCGGTATCCGGAAGCTACTAATTCCAGAAGCCACCTTTGGCAGTGGCCCTCATCCCGAAGGCCGCTATTCAATAAATATTGTCAAAGAAAATGACTAAGTCCACTATCTGGAGTAACCAACAAATGGCAGTGGCCCTCCGGCATCAACCAACACCGAAGGTTCTAATCCTACAAAAGGGTTAAATTTGCCGAGTCCAAATAAACGACAGACTCCGACAATTTAACGAAGACCGAGGGCATCTATTAATCTAAACCTACTTTTCAAGAAGTTATCCGAAGGCTCCTGTTAAGTACTATTCAGAAAGCTAACGGGGATCGAGGGTACCCTGTACAGCATGAGTATTCTTCAAATATTCCTAAGTCCACACTATTACACAAGGGGCGAGGGCACCTATTACACACTACAGGAGGCGAGTGTTCCCGGACTGTCGGACATGATCTCAAATCTCCTAAGTCCACATTCCAACAGCCTCCGGTTCAAACAATCAACACTGAGGGTTCCAATCGCAGAAGGGGTCCAAAGGAAATTATCCTAAGTCCAAAAGCATGGGCCTCCGGTCTATGCTAAGGCATGTACAACTTAAAGATCATATATCTAGAGGGGTCTGTCAACCGATGGCTCAATGGTAAAACTACACTTAGAAAGATTTTCTAAGTCCTGAAATGATTGGCCCTCGGTCAACTCAACATACAACCGAAGGCTCAGCGGTAAAAGTGCACTTGAAAAATTTCTAAGTCCTAAAACAATTGGCCCTCGGTCAACTCAACATACAACAAAAGGCCAAGTGGTGAACAACACTTAGAAGTTTTCTAAGTCCTAAATGTTGGCCCCTCGTCCAAACGTTTAGCCAAACATACATTCATGCACGAAGGGAAAGAAAGCAGGGAATAATATAAAAGGCATTCATTCAAGAGGAAAAGGAGATAGATTCAACATTAAAGGCCCGAAAGCACACATGCATTCATTCACAAAAATAAAAGTAAATTGTTTACAGTTGCCGAAGTCGGGAGCATAAAATATCATTACAAAAGATCGTTCGAAAATTCCCTAAGTCTATATCACTCAGCGGCGCCTCCTTCAGCAGCTTTTGAGGTGACCTCTCTGTCGGCATTCTCCTCGACGCCACCGTCGTCAGATCCCCCCATCATCATGGAATCTTCAATCACCGGCCTTTCTTCGCCCGGAGGAGGGAGGCTCTCACATCTGGCTGCAGAGGGGGGAGGTCGTACACCGCCGGATCGAACTGACCAAGGGGGGCGCTGAAATGACGCGCAAGCCTCCAGTATATCAAATGCTGGGTGAAGAACTCACCCCTTGATAATAACAGTCGCCTCTCTCGGCCATCCACATTTTACCGGGGCCCTCGACCCAGGCGTCGACCTTCTTCTGCACAACTGAGGAGACCCATTCCTCCCTATCCTCAGCCTCCCAGCCACCGGCAGTAAAGACATCAACTGGTCCCACCCGATCCACCCTACCCTATCGCCACCCCCTACCACCTCAACCCCACCCCTACCCACCCTAACCCTACCCCCACCTCATATATTACCCCTTACCCCTTCCCACATGCCCCTACCTCAGCCCCACCCTACCGCCATCCTACCCCCACTCTCGTACCGCCATCATACCCACACCCTACTGCCATCCTACCCCCACCCCAGCCTACCCCACCCTACCACGTCCCTACCTCAGCCCCACCCTACCGCCACCCTATCCCAACTCCCTACCCTACCCCTACCATACCCCAACCCTTAGCCCTAACCACCACCCTAAATCACCCACTACCCCACCCAAACCCCCATACCCCTAGACCTTACCACCCCACCCCCAACCATACCCCTTACCCCACCCCCACCCATCCCTACCCCGACCCCTATGAGTAGGTATGGATGGGTATGAAAGGTTTTAAGGGAGTATGGGTAGAGTGTAAGATCGTGCTAAGGGTAGGGGTAGGGGTGAAGGATGTGGAATTGGGTGTAGGGTGTAGGGTGGGGGTACGAGGTATAGGGGCAATGTAGGGGTTAGGAGTATGGGTACACGTACGAGGTGATCGACCCCACATATTATATTACTCCCTCCATCCCAATTTGTAAGATACTTTACAGTTTACGATGTTTGACCGATGATAAAGCAAATTGATCCTTGTCAACACTCAAATTAGTTTTAGAAAATAAAATTTACATATTCAGAAACTACATTAAAACTACTACAAAACCTGCAAAAAATAATTCAAATTTCATAAACTTTTGATATATAAAGTAAAAGATTAAAAGTGATTTATGTTGACCAAGTGAATAGTAAATGTATCTTACAATTTGGGACTGAGGGAGTATGTATTTGTGTTCATGAATGTTTGTGTGTCTTATAACATATATGTATAGGGTTATTTTGGACATTTTAATGTTAAACGGTACTTTAAACCTTTTGAAGTAAGCATGATCTTATAACATTGCTTATTTTATGCGTCGCTTATTAACGCGAGTCTTAATACGCACCGTTTAGTAACCCGTGAAGTAAACGTGTCAGTCTTCTGGATGATCACAGAACTAGATGAAAAATTGATGAACATGTTTTCAGATTTGAAAATGGAAAACTAGAAAATAGAAACAGAAAACTTGAGATACAAAAACTGAAAAATAAAATTGAAAATTGGAGAATGAAAAACAGAAGTAGAAAACAGAAAAATATCTCTGTTAGTAAACAGACCCTTCATTTCCTTCTACATATACAATCAACATCATCCATTACCCATATACTGCTACAAAGGCAAAAAACAGATTTCATTGGTGCAGTAACTATGGATGAAGATATATCAATTCAAGAGCTTATTTAGTTAGATGTGGATGTCATGCATGAGGACTTTGATGTTGAGCCAAAATTAGAAGTATTCTCTTCCTTTTTTTCTGAAAGTGAGTGTGAGGTAGGATCTGAATCACAAACATAAAAAATTGTTACTAAAAAAATAGATCTGACAAAAAAACAAAGGAAGCACTTGGTAGAAAAACTTTTAATGTTGGGTGATTATAAAACCTTACCCAAAGGTGTTGTGTCAGAAGTTGTAGCATAATTTAAAGTTCATAAAACTACTGTTTGGAGAATTTGGTCTGCAACTAAAGTTCAAGTAGTTGGGGGTACACTAGTGGATGTTCAAAGTAGAAAAAGGGGAAGGTAGGGAGAAAACCTAAACTTTTTTATTTGGAAAGTCTTGACGATGTGCCTATTCAACAAAGAACCACAATTTGATCTTTGTCTTCTGCCCTTGGGATTAACTATTCAGCAGTCTATCAGCTACTCATAATAGGACAACTTAGAGCCCACATGTAACACCGTCCCCAATTATATTTACTTTTATGTAAAGCATGCATTGAACCATACGAAATGATTAAAGAATTTACGAGGTTGTAAATTTTTGTTATTACTTTTGTGTGAATAGTGAATTTCACGTAGGACCCACATCGGGAGCGGAGACCACCCTATATTTCCGGGACCACATATTATATTCATCTTGGTATAGATAATATGTATATGGTGGTGTATATACTATTTGGGCCATGGAAAGGGCTTAAGGTTGACTGGTCGGTCAAACGAGGCCCAATTACCGGTATTGGTAATTTATCGGATGACAGCCCGAAATGAGTTTCAGAGACTTCTAAATTAAAGTTGAGGAATGTATATTCATTCTAAGGACCCATATGGATTGGGAACGTGTGATATATTTTATTTGGCCCGATAAAATAAAATATAATTAAAACAGTCTGAGAAATACAACTTTCGGGACCGATTGTACAATTCGGGACACAAAGGGATGACCTCCCACGTGAGTGGGGGCCACCCCACGTTTTTGTGTGCTCTAGAGGACCATTGAGAGCCAGAAATGATGGGTTGAGGTGTAAGGTGTGCTGAGGGTGAGGTATTGGGTGAGAATAGACACCATGTGGACCTCCCACCCCTCACTCATTGCTATTGAGACAAAAGAGGTCTCTACCCTCTTTCCTCACTCATTGTACTCGACCAATCTATCAAATAAAGGGAAAAAGGACCTCTCAAACCATCTTCCATAGCTGCAAACTCGAGCTCAAGCAAGAGGACCAAAACAAGAAGTGTTAAAGGGGTGAAAGTGAGAGAAAAGACCTCAAGATTAAGGTATTAATCTTATAACAACTTTCTCTCCTTTTGTAAAGAGTCACATGACTTGTATAGCATGTGAAGGACCCCTAGAATGATTCTACATGTTTAGAAATGTATAATGAGGGGTTGGAAGGTAGTTCTAAGTCTAAGAATCGACTTAGAAGCCAAAGTGACCGGTTCACCAGAAAATAACCTTTTAGAGGTTATTTGTATTGATATGGGTTTTATGATGATAAAACCTTGTTAAGAACTTGTCTAAGGTATTCCTATAGCTTTCACGGAGTTGAAAGAGTCGCCAGAGTAATCGCCGGAGCTAGACAAAGTTAGCCGGAGTTTCGCCAGAGTCCAACCAAGAAGGGTAGAACTTCATAAAGCTCATTCGAGGTGAGTGCATGGCTTAATGTCTTGTAACTCTAGGGTTAAGTATAAGATTACCTAAAGAGATGTTATAAGTATTCATAATGATATTTAAAGGAACTTAAGCATGTGCTTAATCAAAGTTACTTGGCTTATGTGGGTGATACTACATGATTTTGCATGTGAAAAGTATAAAATATGTATAAAAACATTTGTGATATTTTGGGTGGTTAAAATGGAATATTTGGGTTTTTTAAGACCCAATAAATGTTGTATAAAATTTTTGGATTGATCGGAGATCATCCGGGGGGTCAACGGACCGCCGCCGTTGGGCAGACGGTGACCCAGCGCCGGCCATAGGACCAAACCGGCGCCGGTTAAGCCACTGCCTGGCCGGTCTGGAAAATTTTACACAGACCCGGCGTCGGGTATAGGGGTAACCGGCGCCGGGTATAGGGGTAACCGGCGCCGGTTAAGCTGCTGCCCCATGTTTAAACTTCGCCGAAAATGCGTATCGAGGCCCGGTTTGAGGGGGATTAACCCCAGGCACCCTATGTGAGTATATTGTGCATGGAATTGCATGGAATGTGCTATTTGAATGTTAAGTTTGATATCTAATTATTAAACTCTAAGGTCTTGGTGTTGTCTTGATAAATGATTATGATATAGACCCTATCTAGATTGAAACGAGGTAGATCATAGGAATACACATGGTGGAGGACCCAAGGACTAAATAGTCTTCAAAACTTATATGCATATGGTGGATAACCCAAGGGCTAAAGAGTCCTCAAAACTCGGAATATATATTTCGGTGGAGAACCCAAGGACTAAAGAGTCCTCAAAACTTATATGCATATGGTGGAGAACCCAGGGACTAAAGAGTCCTCAAAACTCATATGTACATCGGTGGAGGACCCAAGGGCTAAAGAGTCCTCAAAACACATGGTGGAGGACCTAAGGACTATAATGTCCTCAAAACTCATAGGTAAAATGGTGGAGGACCCAAGGACTTTAATGTCCTCAAAACTCATATGTATAAACGGTGAAGAACCAAGGACGACGGTAATGTCCTCAAAACTCAGAATATGAATTGATTAGGACCAGGAGGAGTCCTATACACTCATAGGTATATGGATGGGTTGAGATTTGAGTCAAGGATATTGACTACTACTATTTTCCCAAATAAACAATGACCTACGAGTCGAGTATTTCCAAGTATATATATATACTGCTATGTAATTCATAACTTGGGGGGAAGTACTATACGTGTATGTATCACCCAATGTTTAGGTCTTATACTTGAAACGTTAGTTACTCTACATTTAGCTTGCTACTCGCTCGGTACTTGTACTGACCCCTTCGGGGCCCCTCCACAATTTTTAGGTTGAAGTTAGGGCTTGCTACCTGCACCTTCTTACGAGTGAAGTCATTCAAGGAAGACGTGGTTCATGCTTCCTTATTTCCTTTCAAACTACCAAACACTTGCCCATGGATATTGATTTACTATAAACTATTTTGGGCCTGCGAACCCATGGTTTAGTCGGTTGTGGCCCATGCTTTACCGTTGAATATTTGCGTTATTCATTGGTTTAAATGTGATATTGATATGTATGTTTACTACTGAGTATGGATGGATTATGTTCTTGGATGCCTTGTATGATTAAGTCACGTTGACTTGCGAGTGACGTCACTTGATCATACGGCAGTTGTACACACGCTTTGATGCGGTCTGGGACGTGACACCACAAAAATAGCATTAAACCTAAACTTAATCACATACACATGAGGAGGAGGTTTATTCACATTACGGGTAAAGTAATTTCAAGGGCAGTGAACACAATACCTAAACTTTCAGGCATGTGCAACATGATTCATATTGATCAAAAATGGTTTTACATGTCACAAAAATCTAAAAAAGTATATCTATTTCCTTGGGAGAAAATACCCTATAGAAGCTGCCCGAACAAAAATTTTATTGGCAAGGTTATGTTTTTGGCTGATGTGGCTAGGCCACATATTTCTGATTCGGGTCAAGTTCTATGGGACGAAAAATAGGGTCATTTATGTTTACTGAAATTGTTTATTCACAAAGAAGGTTATGTAATAGGGAGACAGGAACCCCAGAAACAAAATCCATACAATGTGTGACATAAGAAATTATCCGATCTAAGTTAATAAATTCAGTCTTAACTTGTGGGTTATAAGGGAACATTGGTCAACTAATGCATGCAAGAATATTTGGATTCAACAGGATAACGCTAGGCCTCACACTGGTGTTAATGATGTTCAATTCCTGGAGGCTGTTGCTTTATTTTGGTTTCAATATACGACTAACATGCCAACCTGCGCAAAGTCCAAATTTCAATGTACTCGATCTAGGTTGTTTTAGAGCTATACAATTCATTCAATATAAAGCTTTTCCTAAGACTGTTGGTGAGCTAGTTGGTGCTCTTGAAGATGCATTTTACTCTTTTGGACCAAGGCTGCTAAACTACACATGGGTACATCATGCGGGAAATATTAAAGGAAGAAAAGGCTAAACATTAAAACAAGAATCTCTACGTTGCTAAAAAAGAATCCCTAGGTTGCTCATTTTTTTCAATTGACTTTCTTTAATTTGCTCCCTGCGTTGGACTGAGAGAGAAGTTGTAGAGCTAAAAAAAGGAGGCTTGAATACCTGCAAGCTAGTTTTCTTTCAAAGATGTTGCAGAAACGGACCAAGAGGAGAAAAGAGCACCGGGTAGAATGTGAATGTTCGACATATTCTTGAACAACCATTACCTAAACGCTGCTTTTGTTGCCATTTTACATTTTGGCTGTTTGAAATAAAAAGAAAACTGAAAAAGCCAATTCACCAAACACTCTTATTAGCCTATTGGTCTGGTCAAAAGGCTAATTATGGTCAAATCAGCCAAAATAATAATAATAATAATAGGAATAGACGGGTTGTTTACAATCCTCGTATGCATAAATGGGATCGAGTTCCTCTGCCTGGCTTAGGCAGGCAAGGAGGGTGCCTGGCCAATTTGAACCATCAGATCAAAAAATCAATGGCCTAAAATTAGTGGGTCCATTCTTGGCACAAATCTCTAGCTTCTATTTTAGTAGGATCTCAATCCGCATAAATGAGCCCAACAGTGAGCAAATTGGCCCAACAATAAGTTATATAACGCACAACCCCGGAAAACTTCCACAACTCAACTCAAGCTCGTAGCTTTTCTCTTTTCTCATCTTCCATATACCGAAACCCTATATCCGAAAACCCTACCTTTCTGCCGCGCCATGGCCAAGAAGCGAAAGACCCGAGCTTCGAGCCGGCCTGCAGCCGAACCAGAGCAAATCCAAAATCAAGAGCCAGAGCAGGAAATAGCGGATCACGTTCCAGAGCAACAGGTAGAAGAGTTAGTAGAAGATGAAGTGGAAGAGGAAGCAGAAGATGCGGATCTTGAAGAAGAGGATGATGACGAGGGCGAAGAAGAAACTCAGGAAGATACGAAAGCGGATCCGATGAAAACAGATGCGGAAATCGGAAAAGATTTCCCATCAATTGATTCTGGATCTACTCAGAAATCCAACGGTGAGGAGAAGGAGGTTACGTTGACCGATGAAGTCGATGACGACGATGACGAGCCACTCGAGAAGGTTCTGGAACCTTTCTCGAAGGAACAGCTCAAAGCTTTAATTCAGGAGGCGGTGACGAAACACCCTGATGTCATGGTAAACGTTAACACATGGGCGGACAAAGATCCCGCCCATAGGAAAATCTTCGTGCACGGTCTCGGCTGGGACACGACTACTGAAACCCTGATTACTGTGTTTGGGAAATACGGGGAAATTGAGGATTGCAAGGCCGTCACTGATAAGGTCTCAGGGAAGTCTAAAGGTTATGCCTTCATACTCTTCAAGCACAGGAGCGGAGCAAGGAAAGCTTTGAAAGAGCCCCAGAAAAAGATAGGCGGCAGGGTCACATCGTGCCAGCTGGCTTCTGCAGGTCCTGTTCCGGCTCCCCCACCTACCGCTCCAGCTGTGTCTGAGTATACGCAGAGGAAGATTTTCATCAGCAATGTTGCAGCAGAGTTGGATCCCAAGAAGTTGTACGATTTCTTTTCTAAATACGGTGAGATTGAAGAAGGACCTTTGGGGTTGGACAAGAATACAGGGAAACCAAAAGGGTTCTGTTTGTTTGTTTACAAGTCTGTTGAGAGTGCAAAGAAGGCTCTAGAGGAGCCTCAGAAAAGTTTTGAAGGGCATACACTGAATTGCCAAAAAGCAATTGACGGCCCAAAGCAGAGTAAGGGTTATTCTCCGCAACAACAGCATCAGCCACATTATTCACAACATCATCAACCGTATTATCAGCACTCCGCAAAGAAGGGGAAATACTCCGGTGGTGGAGGAAGTGCAAATACATCTGCTGGGCATTTGATGGCTCCAGGTGCTGGGACAGGACCGATGGGGTTCAATCCAGCTGTTGGTCCAGCTCTTGGACAGGCACTGACTGCCTTACTATCTACACAAGGAGCCGCTGGACTAGGGATTAGTAATCTACTTGGAGGACTTCCTGTGAACCCTCATGGAGCTCCACCTGCGGTGAACAATGCATCCGGGTATGGGGCCCAGGGTGGTGCAGGAGGATATGGGAGTCATCCAGGACTGCAGGGAGGATATCAGAACCCATCAATGGGTCAGGGAGGAGTGAGACCACAAGGTGGTGCCCCCTGGCGTGGCCATTAAGTCCATTAAGCCTTAGAGAAGGTATACTTTTATTTGATATAATGCTTTCATTCTTAATATTCTTTGATCTACTATATGCATAAATTTGAGGTTCTAGCTATGAATGACTTTAAAATAAACAAATCTTGAACCGTTTTTCAACGTTCTGATCTTAAAAGACCCACATCATCATATGTTTACATGAAAATGAATGATGGAGGCTAAAAGTCTGTATGCATCATTTGGTGAAGGTTACTTGGTACAATTTTTTTTCTTGGACTTTTTTTGTAAAATAAGATAAAGTATGAGCTTTGCTTTTTTGATTTTTTTCCTCTAGGGCGAGCAGATTGCATTGCACAAATTAATCTTTTTTGAGCTAGATAACTGATTCTAAGACTCTGGCCTTTAGTCTATTTGTCTAGAGGCTCATATTTTCAGTATTCTTCTGTTTAATGAATATATATGAATGATAATTTCATGAATAGTGTAACAGCTAAAGCCTAAAAAATTCTCACTACCCTAGTAACATATGGTATTTTCCATCATTTGCAATGGAGCCAAAGATTCATTATTTTTTGGCTTGAGATTATGATGGAATAAAGCAAAATGGCACACTAAACTATTTACGCTCCTTGTTATGAAACAGCATTCAGTCCATGCAATTTTGGACGAGATTTTCACTATGGGTCATCCGGAAACAGTCTCTCTGTGCTTTAGTACAGGGGTAAGACTTCGTACATCCGACCCCCTTATCCCACCGTAGGTGGGAGCCTTTGCGGCACTGGGGTAAATGAAAACCCTAGTAACAAATGGTCTTACCAAAATCGTTCTTTAACATGCTTCTAAAAGTTGTAATTTTTTGTTGCACCATTAGTCTCATGGGTTCAGTTACTTTCCACTGAGTATGCTGCTGCAGAGTGGACTGCTAATGTAAGTACATTTTGAAGCTGTCCATGTCAGGGCGTTCAGAGTGAAGTGGATTGATGAAGTTGCATTACTTTCATCCAAATACATTTAAATAATGCTGGATTTGCACAAAATATTTGACCTTCTATTTGCTCGTTTACTGTTCTTTCTTATTACAATTGACTGATTGAGCTGTTGGATGCAGTTCTTTTTACATTCAATTCTTCTTTACCCTTGCTTTTCAAACAAAAGGTTTTTATATTTTACCTATTTAACTTGCAGATACCTTCAAAAATGCATCACTCTTTTTGTTTTGGACTGGTGATTCTTCTGAGGTTCCAGAATCAAAAGCAAATGATGTATTTTACTTTGGGAAAAAGTTACTGATTGTTTAAAGACCAGAATGTTCATTTTTCTACTTTCTTCAAACAGTTTTATTCTAGCAGTTGTTTTCTAAATCTATGGCCACCTTTATGGCCTTTGTATCTCTCTGTAGCACTTCTCTTATCGCACTTTTCATTTAAAAACTAATCGAGGTTCTGATAGTGTATCCTCACCAACATTTCTCTGAATTTTATTTCTGGCGGTTTCTCTATCATTTCAACATGTTTTTGTGGGAATTGGTTAATCTTAAAGCTGATTGAAATGTCATTTGCAAATTGCACATTTGATACCCGACCCTAAAGTTCACACGGAGGACTGCAACAAGATTTTTTTACAGTTATAACAAAATCTGCATCCAAGCTGATACTTTTGGTGGATGGTTCTGAACTTCTGATATATTTATTTCCTTGGCAGCTTCTAATGTCTGATGTTGCAGGTGACTATTGCCGTCTCCTATGCATCTTCATTCTATGGGTCCACACCATCTAACTTTGCCATTTAACCTTATTTACCTTTTCTCATTTACTGTTATATCTAACCACATTCTTACTTGTACGCCTAAACAAAAAAATTCTTGTGCACTTGTGTTTGAGCACTTCAACCAATTTTCTCAAAAACTAATATGGCATGTTTAACTTGGCTTTGCATTTCCATCAACGCCTATAGTAGATTAAGTTCATTCTACTTGCCCTCAAATAATCAAGAAAACTTAAAAGTTTTTAATGAAAAGCCAGCTTGGACTTGAACTGATTTGGTTACCCAACTCATTTTAGAAACCCACTCACTCACTCAAACACTTATTATTGTGTCACATTCCCATTCGCATTCAGATATATACTTTCTTCTCGACTTAGTGCATTCTAGGTCATTAAGGTGGGCATGCATGGTTATAGTCTGCAATCTGCCATTATCATTCGCATTCCTAGACTCCTTGCAGTGGACAAATTGGAGCTATAAGTTGATACCAAGGAGAACTTGTAAGCTTACATCTCTAAAATTCCTTCCTAGCCTTGCATATCCTTTTGATCTGTTCAATAGAAGCTTGAACAATAACATTGGTACATACAACAATGTAATGACACACATAGTTTGACATAAATGACACTTTTTTTCTTCGAAATTTTAATTTTTGACTTGGGAATTGGGGTCCTTTTCATGCCCAACCTCTTGACCCCTCGTGTATTGCTCTGAAATGTGTTTTTGCCCTCTGTATGATTGATTGAAGACATTGGGACCTTTCTTTTGAATGCGTAGACATATAAATATAACCTGGGTGTCCTGAATTCCTTAATCTTATTTATAGACTCAACCAAAATCTGTCTTCTGGTTTTCTCACCGCAAATAAGGTATTTTCTTGCCTTGGCCCACTCTGAGTTCCATGAACTGAAGACAATAATTTTGTCAGATCATCACTACCTGAAACTTTTTTCTGAAGAGCCCCTTTCCAAATCACTTTCTTGTACTTGAAATAATTCTACATTTCTGTGTTTTTGTTGGTCAAAATATTTTCACTCGTTTTTTTGTAAGCAATGTCCAACATCTAAATGATCTATAGCACTATGAAAGTCATGCACAACTTAACAATGCCGTGCATCAAAATAGTGTCACTACGTTGCCAAACAGTGTATGGGTTTAAGTTATTGGAGTGGATAATTTTAGTTATTTTAATATGATTTTATTATTTATAAAATATGTTTTAAACATCATATTTTTATAAATTAGCACAATTAGTCAATTTATTCACTTTAGCTAAAATCTTATAAATATAAGCAGATTTTATTGAATCAATCGATTTTGGTGTTACCAAATAGGTTCTTAAATACAACTCTTGAACAAAAATATTCAAGAAATAGAGCAAAGTAAATTTTATCAAGAAATTTAAATTTGTGAACAAATGTATTACCAAAATACGGTCTTTTAGTTATATTTAAATTTAAAACTTGAAAATATGTAGTCACTTAAAGGTGTTCATACGAAAAGTTATTCATCCACTTTCTGTTCGGTCTTTATTTTAGTCAAATGATATAAAATTTGTGCATACAAATTACAGAAAAAGTTTTCCTAATTTTAAATTTTAGCTTTACGTACTTATGTTAAGCTATATCCAATGTTGTACAAATAAGTCATTTCATTGGTATTTTAATAAATCATAGAGTATTTGAAAAATACCCACATCACTATTACAATTAAACTCTTAATATGATCACTAATCTTGTTTTCTAATTCTAATGTGTTGAATTTTACACAGTACTTAACTTCGATCATATTTTATTTTATTTTATTTATTAATTTATATATGAGTAATATTATTTTGAATAATGTTCGTTATCTTTTCTTTTTTTTGACAATTCTTTTTAACCTATTATAATATCTGTTCTATGTTAAGTTCAACATCCTTGAACTGGGATTAAATTTCAACACGTGATCTCCTCCTTGTGGGTACTTGCTGTATCATTTTTAATTTTTTTTATCATGGAATTAGATCCATTGATGGGTGATGGTATGCATTGGCAACGTATGCAATCGGCGGTTAGTGGTTAACGGATAATGTTAGCAGGTTGTAAATAGCGGATTCAATTAGCGGATTTGACTAGCGGATTAATTTGGCGGGTTGAAGAAATATGTTTGGTAACTTAGTTGTTTGCTTGTAGCGGTTGATGCATAAAAAGACAAAAAAGGACATTTGTAGAATTTAGAATATGCTCTTTGTTTGATACCACATATAATTTTATAACTCATGTATCATACATGATCTTTTCGTTTATCGATCGATATTTTTCTATTTTTATTTGGTTTTTCCAAATTTGAGTTTTTACGCTTATCATGAATCTATATTGATTTTTAATAAAAAATCAACTACAGAGTACAAAGATTAATCACACATATACTTTGTATGACATACTATGAGTACTTTGTAGAATCTAGAGATTCTGCATGATAGCCACATGCCCACATCACACTATTTATATATGACACATGGCACCTACATATGATTTATGTTTCATACTCACTCCGGTCCTAAATAAACTTCACACTTTGACTTCACACAAATTAAGGAAATAAATTTGACTTTACTGTATAGTACACTGTTGTGACACTGTTTGACATTGTTTTGCACTGTTTTGATGTAGATAATTTGCCAAATAAGGAAGAGAGAAGAAGTGTGAAGTTTATTTTGGAACTACCCCAAAAGAAAAGTGTGAAGTTTATTTAGGACCGGAGGGAGTATGTCTTTTGATGTAGAAGAATGAACATCATTCTTATGTTGAGATTTCTTATATATCGTCATTATCGTGCATAACTTCTCTTATAAGTAATTAATTAATAGGAGGAGAGGGATCACACTTAAATTACAGATAAATAGCAAATATATGTACCTTCAAAACAAATTGGAGTTGCGATGCTATGCTTTGGAGCTCTGCAACGGTGAATATAGATAGCAGCATCGAATGAATATGGAAGGGTAGCTTTGAGAATTATTACGTATATTAAAACCGCTGGAGCCTAAACGCTTGGTTATGCAACATTTTCTTTTTTGGCGCTTCGACCCAAACTGCTAAGTCAATCCGCTAAGTACCAAACACTTAAATTCGGCTTTTTTCAGGGCTTCAAAACTCCAAATCCAGTCAAACTCGCCAAAAATGGGCTGAACAGCTGTTTTCCAAACATGGTTAATGGCAAACGTGTAATGTGGAGGTTGGACTGTTGTAATTTAAAAAGAGTGGAAGAAGTATAATTTTGACCGAAAATTATTCAATTTCACTTGCACTGAAAATTTGAAAGTTGATTATGAATTTGGATTTTTATATCATTTTGGTTTTATTATTTTTTTTTTTTTAGATTGATAAATATGTTGTTTGTCAATTGAAACAGATTATCAATTTTTGGATTAAATGTATTATAAGATAATCGCGACTTCATAGGTACATGAGTAATAGTGGCCTCGACATTATTATTATTATTATTATTATTATTATTATTATTATAAAATTTGAGCTTATATTTCCGTTTACATTAAATAAGCTCAATTAGGATTTTGGAAACTTTAGTCTCATAATAATGTTAAGAGCTTCAATTCATCTATTTATCAAAATTAATATAGGCTAAATTGTCTATACACATTTTTATACACACATTTGAACCCACCCCCTATTTTGTCGGTGTACATAGGCATTTGGCAGACAAATGTTGTATTCTTCTTAAAGAATTGCCTGTGTGCATAGGCAAAATAGGGGTGAGTGTAAAAGTGGGTACACAACTGGGTATAAATGATTTTTTTGTTTTATATATCTCCTAGGCTAACTACAATCCTCTCCATCAATAAATCAAATCTCCCTTTAGTTTATACGTATTCACTCATTCAATTCATTTTTCTTTACAATCTAGCATCCTCAATATATTCACTCAATAAAGGTTATTTTAGTTAAATCTTAACTTTTTCTTGTTATACATTTATTTTTGCCAAATTTCTTTTACGGACAATTATAATTTAAAAAATCAAACATTCCGATGTAAAAATAAATAAATTTGGGGTGTAATTTTTTTATTGTTACTTCATACTTATTTTTGAAAAAATCAACAAAAAGATGTAACGAAAAAAGTAAACACAAGATCTTAATTTGGATATTTTGATCTCCATCAAATAAAATATTATTTTTTATTTGTAATTTTTACAAAGATTTTAAAAAATTACAAATTTTGATATATCTTTTGTAAAAATATGAATACAGATAAAAAAGTTATACAACATTTAAAAAAATTAGGATTTTTAACTTATGTGCATGCTGATTTTCTTGCATGCGTAGAGTACATTAAGTTCTCCGCTCCCAATCCACTTGAGCTCCTCCGATACATTTTTGGGATAGGTTTGCGACACATTTAGAGGTGAATACTTCAAATTTGGGGTTTTCACCCCATGGATTGCAATGACCCCATGGACGTAGAAAACCACTACCGTCAAAGGTTAGTAACTAAAAACTACCCGCACGGGTAGCTCAGTTGGTCGAGTGGTGGGAGATTTGGATCAATGGACCATGGTTCGAATCCGCGCACCGACCAGGTGGAGGTCACAAAACTTGAAATAAGGCTGGGACTCTGGTGCGCACGGATGTATGGGCCTACTGCCGTTCTGCTGACTGAGTCACAGTGACTAACCTCCCCACTATCCTGTCGGGTCGGGCTGAGGACTCCTAGGGTGGGAGATTCCACCTTTTGGATCAATTAGTAACTAAAAACTCGTTTTGACAAATGTACTACTTCATAATTCTATAAAGGCTAGTCCTTGATAAAACCAGAAACAAATCATTTCTTGAATCGGGACTAAAGCCCACATTTTAAAGGAATGATAAGATCGTGAATTGTTTAAGATTTCTTAAATGATTTTGAGATTGTTATTTAAGCATATTCTAAATTATATAAATAATATAAATACATCAAACTCCGAAAGGGTGTGAGATAAATATTTCAAACTTACTTACATATGTAATATATATATATATATATATATATATATATATATATATATATATATATATATATATATATATATATATATATATATATATATATATATATATATATATATATATATATACCTTAAACCTTATTTAAAAAGTTAATTCCGCGACATGATTATGTATTTATCAATATATATATATATATATATATATATATATATATATATATATGTATATGCAAGTATTGTAATATTCCCTTCGGTCCTAAATAAACTTCACACTTTGACTTCACACAAATTAAGGAAATAAATTTGACTGTACTATAGAGTACACTGTTGTGACAATGTTTGACATTGTTTTGCATTGTTTTGCACTGTTTTGATGTAGATAATTTGCCAAATAAGAAAGGGGGAAGAATTGTGAAGTTTATTTTGGACCTACCCAAAATGGAAAGTGTGAAGTTTACTTAGGACCGGAGGGAGTAAGTTTTGGAATTAGTGTAAAATAGGACTAGTATATACTATCCTCCGATCAGTTTTAATCGCAACAAGTTGAATTTTACACTATTTACATGTTTTACTTTGATTACATTTTACGCTATTATTTTATGATTTTTTTTTAAATATTGTTCAATTCATCTCATTTTTTACTAATAGAATTAAGATATAATTGCGGTCAAAGACATGGTTGACAAATGTGAAATATAGACCGTTACAACTACTCCTTCCGTCCCTCAATTAAGTTCCCCATTGCTTTTGACACTTATTAAGGGAAAAAAATTACTGCGGGGTAAACTTTACTGTTTGGACACTGTTTGACACTGTTTGGCACTGTTTTGATATAGTTAATTTGCCAAATAAGGAAAGGAGAACTTGATTTAGGGAATACCCAAAAGGAAAAAGGGAACTTAATTGGGGGACTGAGGAAGTAAAAAAGAGCAAAAATGATGTTTGTACACACTCTTATACACACTTTTGTACACACCTATATCTGTGAAAGCTTTTTTTTTGTCTGTGAACATCGATTCACAGACAATGTTTTGCACAAACAAAACATTGTCTGTGAACCGGATTCACAGACAAAAAAAGCTTCACAAACATGGTGTGTATAAGGTGTGTACAAGGGTGTGTACATCAAGAATGGTTGAAAAAAGAGTGAAGGGAGTACTATATAGTCATCGATCTTGTAACGATACTAGTATCTGACCCGTGTGATGCACGGTATATACTACCACATATAAAAATAAAAGCGAGAAAATAACTTTTGATCCATAAAATTGTCAGTGATAAATATTACAATAGTTTAAAAAGCTTATTCATATTTAGTTTATTCGCTTGTTTAATGATTAAAAACTTGTTCACTAACTACATTGGGGAATTCTTCAAGACACCGTGAAATATTTAACTTAGTAATAATTTCAATAAGGTGAAATGGTAAATTATATAATTTAACTTCGTAATAATTTCAATAAAACATAATATTTTTGTTTTTAAAATGCGTGCGTTTTTAGATCTAGTTAAATTTACATGTCATAAAATCATAATTTTGAACTTTTTATAAACTTTTCAACGTTTTGTAAAATAAATGATTTGATGATTAATTGGCATTATTAAAAGAATAACGACTATAGTTTGGATTATTTATAGAATACACAAAACTTCTATTTAAAAGTGACCTGCATAGCAGGTTATACCCGATCATGGACCATTATTGGTGGACAAGTCATATACTTGAGATTGTATAGAAACAATCAATAATGAAATAATTAAATTACACTGTATTGTAGAAATTATTAGTCATATTTGGGTAAATAAATTTTATTATAGTATTACATTTGAAAAATTTCATCAATAATTTGGGTCATGGTCACTTATGTTCAATTTTTAAACATAAATGACCATGACACTATATTATAGTAAGTATTAGTCATATTTATATAAATAAGATTTATTTTAGTACTCCTTCCATGTTTTAGAGATTTCTACATTAGCTTTGGCACATTATTTCAAAAGAAAAATAGTAGGGATAATGAAAACTGTACAAAAAATAAGAGAAAAGGTGTTAAAATATGAAAGAGAAGATTAACATTTAACAGTAGAAAAAGAAATGGTGATTGAGTTTTTTTAAGGAAAACTTACCAAAAATGAAAAGTGTTGCAAACTTTAAAATACACCCCAAAAATAAAATTGTAGCAAACTTTAAAATATGAAGAGATTAATATTTTTTGAAAAAACCCCATCACTAATTTGGATTATTGTGAATGGACTCACAATATTTGAGATTTTTATTTTCAATTTTTCCGTACTATAATGAAATTAGAGTTGTAATCATGGTGTACTGTGATGGTAAATATGGACATGATTGTAAAGACTATATGGAGTAGATGTTAATAGGGATAGACATGATTGTAATTTTTAAAGTATAGAAATTAATCTATACATACATGTTAAGATTTATAGTACAAATATTAGTTTATATTAATTATTTTTTATGTTACTTTACTTTGTTACCAATTACATGGAGTCTAAAATAACATGGATCAAAGACGGTTGAATGTTTGTGATTTCTTGAGTATTTATAGAAACAATTTATATTTACATGGTAATTTTATTACCAAATAATAATATACAATAATTGATATTATACCATTTATGTGGAGTAGAAGTAAGTTTTTGATGAAGCATGAGAGTGAATGAGTGTTGTAAGAGTGACATGAGACAAATGCTTAAAGGAATGACATGTGGCAAAAACTTTCACCAATATGACTCTTAAGTGTATAATATATAGATTACATGGAGCCTAAAATAACATGGATCAAAGACGTTTGAATGTTTGTGATTTCTTGAGTATTTATAGAAACAATTTATATTTACATGGTAATTTTTATTACCAAATAATAATATACAATAATTGATATTGTACCATTTATGTGGAGTAGAAGTGAAATTGATGGAGCATGAAAGTGAATGAGTGTTGTAAGAGTGACATGAGACAAATGCTTAAAGGAATGACATGTGGCAAAAGCTTTCACCAATATGACTCTTAAGTGTATAATATATAGATATAGATTACATGAAGCCTATAATAACATGGATCAAAGACGGTTGAATCTTTGTGATTTCTTGAATATTTATAGAAATAATTTATATTTACATGATAATTTTTTACTACCAATTAATAATATATAATAATTGATATTATACCATTTATGTGGAGTAGAAGTAAAATTGATGAAGCATGAGAGTGAACGAGTGTTGTAACAGTGACATGTGGCAAATGCTTAAA